CCCCCGGAGCCTGCCCTGAGCGCCCCCCGCGCCCCTGAGAGCCCCCTCTGTGCCCCACGGCACCCCCCGGTGCGCCCCCGGGAGCCCCCTTTGTACCCCGAGCTGTTTGCCCCCGGACTGCTCCCCATGACCCCTTTCGCATCTCCCTGTACGCCCCACATCGAGACCCTTTTGCACCCCCCTGAGTGCCCCTGCTTATTCCTTTCTGCACCCCACTCTGCACACTCAAGGGAGCCCCACTGAGTCCCCCGTCTGCCCCCCAAGAACCCTCTGAAGTGCCCCCAGTGAAACGCCTTGATGAAACTCATGACCCCCTTGGTGCACCCCCTTTTAGCCTCCCGGAATACCCTCGTACACTCCAGACGCATCCCCGAAAGCCCCGCATGCCCTCCTCCGTGCCTCTCCAGCGCACCCCGTGTCCCCACCGCCCCCCTGCACCACCCACAGCTTGCTCAGCCCAGGCGGGGGCTGCTGGCACAGGCTAGGGACGCGCCAGTCGGTGCCAGCAGCGCTGGTGACCCCGTAACTGGCAGGATGATGGGGGACACCCTCCTGCACCCCACAGCCAGCCCCCACCCCAGCCGGATCTGGGTTTGGCGGTGCCGGTTGGGTGAGCCGTGCGGCCGCCGCGCTGCAAGCCAGAGCCGAGCCTGGGCAAGACCATTCCCATCCCCGCTAGTGCCGGTGCCCCCACGCTGGGCACGCTCCCGTGGGCGTCACGGTGGGTTTGGCCCCCCAAACCCTGCCCACGGTAGGGCCGGACCCCAAACCTGCCCGTAGCCAGCGCAGGTGGCCCCACGGCAATGAATGAACGGGTCTCCGAGCCGGCCCCGGAAAGCTGCCCGCGGGCCAAGGCTGTGCCGAAATTATTCCGGCCACGTGCCAATGGCCGGATCCTGCCAGGAGAGCTGTCGGCACGCGTGGGCGAAAGGCTGCCCTGCCTCCAGGCATTCCCCTTGCCGGCGGGCAAGCGGGGGGCCAGGGCTTCCCGGGGCGGTGCCGGGGCTTCCTGCTGCGCCCAGGGGAAATGGAAACCAGTTTTTTCCAATCTCTTATCGCCTGGCAGCCATGGGAGGAAATGATTTATAAAGTCCAGAGGCCGTTTCCTAGCGCGCTGGGAGCACCCGCTGTCGCTGTCGGGGATGCGCTGCCTGGCCCTGCATGCGGGGTGCCCGTGGGGTGCTCTGATCCCTCTGCCCGGCCTCCCTTGGCCCCATGCAGGGATGCCGGCTGGCCCCAGCCCTGCATCACCGGTGCGGGGCCGAGTTCAGGGGGTCTCGGTGTCAGCCCACATCCCGATGCAGGGATCGAGGTGCTGCGAGCTCCCTTGGACTTCAGGATCCTCCCAGGGTTTGGGGTGTCCCCGTGTAAGCGCTCCCGAGCTGCTGCAGTGCCCACCCACATCCCACCACATCCCAGCTGCCCTAGGGCGGGAGGGGCTGTTGCCCAAGGGATACTCTGGATCCACTCGGCTGGGGGGCCGCGGGCCGGTTCCCCCCGCACGGAGCGTCCTGTTCCCGGCGGTGGCCGTGGGCAGCGGGTGCGAAGGCACAGATGCCGCTGCACCGGCTGCCAAGGCGCTGCCATCTGCGTTCGCGGGGCTGCCAGGCTGGGGGGGCCACCACTCCCCCTGGCCACCCCACCCCGCCCCCGGGGCACTGCAGCATGGCAGGATGCCGTGCCCCCCCAAAACGATGTCCCCAGGGCTCTGGGGGGTGCGTGGGGAGGGGTCCGGGACCCTGCAGTGAGGAAGGAAGTGGGGGAGGCTTGGCTGCCTGCCTGCCTTTCTCCCTCTGTGAGGTCGTGGGGCCACTGTCCCCCCTCAGGGCCATCGGAGGGGCCAGTGCGACCACCCCCCCAGGCCCTGCATCCCCAGGCTTGGGGCTGCCCCCCTTCGTGGGACAGTGTGGTGTTTGTGTAGGACCCACAGAAACAAGGGGAGGGGGTGGGGCTGGGCAGAGGGTGGCAGGACCCCCGTCGTGCCCGGCAGAGGGGACACCTGGGGACGATTCAGCATCGTCACTCCGTGCCTGGCTGTGTTTCCTGGGAAGGGGGAGGCTGTGACCCAGCGGGGGTCCTCAAATCCTGTCCTCATGCTGCTGTGAACAGCTGCAGCTCAGCGGCCACACCACGGGGCCAGACTCCCACGTCCCCAAGACCCGTCTTTGGGGTGCGGGCGTGGGGAGCCGCTGCCTGGCCGGGAGCAGTGCCCCCGTGGGTGCCGGGGCTGGTGCCAGCGCGGGGCCAGCGTGGCTGCTCAAACGGTCCTTTGTTCCCGGCGGGGACACAAAGGTCTCCAGTCCGGCAGGCCGGGGCCAGCGGCAGGGCTGGAGGGGCACGGCAGTGTAGGGGGCCGTGGCACCTGCCCCGGAGCTGGGGTGTCCTGTGGGCTGGCTGCACTGGGGTGCTGAGGCTGCAGAGCTGGTGACCACCCTACATAGGAGCCCACGGACTGGGGGTGCCCACCCACTGCGGGGCACACTGCCCCCATCCATGACCCCCCAAACACTCAGCCAGGGGCTCCAGGGCTGAGTGACCTCGCAGTGAGAGCCAGGTTGCCCCTGATCAGGGTGTGCTGGCATCATCCCTGCCACCAGCTGTCCTCCTGATGGTGGGGGGCCAAACCCTGCCCTCCTTTTGGCTGGTGGTTGCTATGGGAAACCCGTGGGTTTCCCCTGGTGATGGGCTGAGCCCCTCTTCATCTCCCGGGAAATGGTTGCTGTAGCAACGCATCCCCCTGCTGGATGGATGCATGAGGAGGGGATGCATGGGGAGGGGACACCTGCTGACACCCCCATGCCACCCCCAGACCCTGGCTGGGCGTCGATCAACCGCGGGGTGCTCATCTGCGACGAGTGCTGCAGCGTGCACCGCAGCCTGGGCCGCCACATCTCCATCGTCAAGCACCTGCGCCACAGCCCCTGGCCCACCACCCTGCTGCAGGTGGGTGCTGGGGACACTGAAATGTGGGGAGATGCTCGCTGGGACCCCCTGTGCCCACTGGGCCCTGCCTGTCCCGTGCAGATGGTGCATACCTTGGCAAGCAATGGGGCCAACTCCATCTGGGAGCACTCGCTGCTGGATCCAGCGCAGGTGCAGAGCGGGCGCCGGAAGGCAAACCCCCAGGACAAAGTGCAGTAAGTGCTCCCTGTGCTGTGGGGAAGGGGCCAGCACTGGCTGGGAGCCCCCTCCTCACCCCAAAACCCGCTGCCCACTCCCAGCCCCACCAAGTCAGAGTTCATCCGTGCCAAGTACCAGATGCTGGCCTTCGTCCACAAGCTGCCCTGCAGGGATGATGACGGCGTCACTGCCAAGGACCTCAGCAAGGTGGGGTGGGGCTCAGAGACCCCCTCTGTGGCAGTGGGGACAGATCCCCCCATTACCAGCTCTCTCCTCTGCAGCAATTGCACTCGAGCGTGCGGACGGGCAACCTGGAGACCTGCCTGCGCCTGCTCTCGCTGGGTGCCCAGGCCAACTTCTTCCACCCGGTGAGCTCTGGTGGGGCTCAGGGACCCCAGAGGTGGTGTGGGGCCCAGGGAGGTCCTGGAGCCCCATGCCACATGCAGGCTGCAGGGCTGAGGCTGCCCATGCCCACAGGAGAAGGGCACCACACCGTTGCACGTGGCCGCCAAGGCCGGGCAGATCCTGCAGGCAGAGCTGCTGGTGGTCTATGGTGCCGATCCTGGGGCGCCCGATGTGAACGGCCGGACCCCCATTGACTATGCCAGGTGAGGGCAGGGAAGGGGATCACCCCTGCCTGCACCCCCACCTAGGGTGGGCATCACCCCTGCTGGCCCTCCCACAGGCAGGCAGCCCAGCACGAGCTGGCGGAGCGGCTGGTGGAGTGCCAGTACGAGCTGACTGACCGCCTGGCCTTCTACCTCTGTGGCAGAAAGCCGGGTGAGTGAGGGGTCCTGGGGTGAGGGGGTTATCCTGGAGGGACTGCGTGGCCTTGCTCACCACCCCTCTCTTTGTGCAGACCACAAGAATGGGCACTACATCATCCCACAGATGGCTGACAGGTGAGTGTCTGGTGCCTGTGGCCCCGCTGGCCTGTCCCACGTCCCCCCCAGCATCCCTGCTGGGCTGAGGGGGGGACCCCAGTCACTGGAGCATCCCTGGGGGGCAGGGGGTCGGCGTGCCTGCGCGTTTAACGTCCACCTTTATCCTGTTCTTCCCTCCGCTGCCTTCTCCGGAGCGCAGGGTGCGCCCAAAGTGCATGGCACAGAGGTATTGTCTGCTCGGCTCTGGGGGCCCCCCATGCTGCTGCCATGGGGCCCCCCTGCAGCCCTGGCCGCTCGGCCCAGCCCGGCACCTGGGGGGCACTCAGGGAGGGGGGTCCCACTCGCCCCCTGCCACCTCATCCCCCCGTGCCTGCCCACCAGCCCTGCTTGGTGAAGCCCCCAATGCCTGAGGGGGTGCATCCCTGTCTTGTTGGGGTGCAGCTGGGGACTGTTTTGGTGGGAACAGGCCAGGAATAACCCCCACTTTTTCTTTCTCCCCTCCCCATACTCCCCAGCCTGGACCTCTCTGAACTGGCCAAAGCAGCCAAGAAGAAGCTGCAGGCGGTGAGTGGGGGGCCAGGGCAGGGCTGGGGGTGTCTGCCTGCTCCTCTCATCCTGCCTGACACCATCCCCTGTACTGCTGCAGCTCAGCAACCGCCTCTTTGAGGAGCTGGCCATGGACGTGTACGACGAGGTGGACCGTCGGGAGAACGACGCGGGTGAGGGGGGTGTGGGGTGCAGCTCCCCGGGGCTGGGGTGGGTGTCACAGCACGGGGAGGAGCAGCTGGCAGGGCTGTGGGTGAGCCCTGCGCTCCCCCTGGTCTGGATGTGTCCACCGGGGCTGCAGGCCCCTCCTTCATTCCTCCGCCCCGGAGGGTTTGCTCAGCACGAGGGGCCGCTGCTGGGTGCCCGGGCTGGGGAGCTGCTCGAGGTGGGTGCCAGGGTCCCCCAGGGATGGATGCTCGGCCTGCAGTGATGCCCCTGATCTGGGGGCTGGCAGGGTGGGTGGCAACATGTGTCAAACCATCTTCCCATCAGCTGGGGGGTGCTGAGCTGGTGCTTGAAATGGTGAAGAGCATGGGAGGGTCCTGTTAGGGGGTTATGGGAGGACCCCGGCTCCACTATGTGGTTGAGGGAGGCGATTCCTGTCAGCCTGGCCAGGCTCCACTCCCAATCCCAGCAGGCTGGTCCTGCACCCGCGCCTGCATCCTGCCGGCTCCAGGCCCTGCAGCCTGCTTGTCCGGGGGTCCAGCCCCTGTGTCTGTCCCCTGGGGTCTGACACCAGGTGCCTTCCTGCAGTCTGGCTGACAACGCAGAACCACAGCACGCTGGTGACAGAGCGCAGCGCCGTCCCCTTCCTCCCTGTCAACCCCGAGTACTCAGCGACGCGTAACCAGGTGAGGCCCCCTCTAGGCCACATGACTCCCCTGTGCACCCAGACCCCTGCTCACCCCCTTTTCCCCCCAGGGCCGGCAAAAACTGGCCAGGTTCAATGCCAGGGAGTTTGCCACCTTGCTCATCGACATCCTTGGGGAAGCCAAGCGCCGGCAGCAAGGGAAGAGTCTGCTTAGCCCCACGGGTGAGGCATGGAGGGCAGTGAGGTGGGGCTGAGCATTCCTCCCTGCCCTGTGCTTAGCACCTGCCCTGCCCTCCCCCAGATGCCCTTGACTACTCACTGCGGAGCCAGAGTGACCTGGATGACCAGCACGACTACGACAGTGTCGCCTCTGATGAGGACACGGACCAGGAGCTGCTGCGCAATGCCTCCCGCAACAACCGTGCCAGGGTGAGCCAGGCCCTGGCCTGCACTGCCACCCAGACCCCACCTCTGGGATCCTAGCGCTGAGCTCCTCTCCTTGCAGAGCATGGACTCCTCCGACCTGTCAGATGGCCCCATCACGCTGCAAGAGTACCTGGAGGTGAAGAAAGCTCTGGCTGCCTCTGAGGCCAAGGTGCAGCAACTGATGAAGGTGAACAACAGCCTGAGCGATGAGCTGCGCCGGCTGCAGCGCGAGGTGGGTGTGGGGCCAGCAGGACTCCCTTCCTCAGCATTCCCCCCACCTCCTCACTGATGCCTTCCCCCTCTCCTGGCTGCAGATCCACAAGCTGCAGGCAGAGAATGCGCAGATCCGTCAGCAGACTGGTCCCACACATCCGACCCCGGCCCCCAGTGAGCGGCAGGAGCACGGGCACCCCCCGGGCATGGCCCCCCCCCACCGCCGGGACCGCCAGGCCTTCTCCATGTACGAACCAGGCTCGGCGCTGAAACCCTTCGGGCAGCCAGTGGAGGAGCTGGTGACACGGCTCCAGCCCTTCAGCCCTGGCGTGAGTGTGCTTGGCTGGGTGGGAGGGTTTTGGGGTGCAGCAGTCCCCCTCAGCCCCACATGGTGCTGGTTCCCATCCCCGCGGGGCTGTAACCTTTCATGTGTCGCCAGGAGGTGGAGGACGAGGCTCTGTACTCCATGCACATCCCGGCCAGCGTGTACCGGGTAAGGGGGCCGCAGTGGGGGCGGCTCCTGCATGGGACATGGTGGATGTCACCTGCCTGGGATGTGGCCTTAGGGATGTTCTGTCCCCCCACCGCCCTGCTCCCCCCTGGGTCAGGCCGGGGATCTCCCCAAGGGATGGCAGCTGCGGGATGTTTGTGCATGCAGGGTGGCAGTGTCCCCTGTGCTTGTCCTCCCTTGCACGTCACCAGGATCGGCTCCACACCCTTCTGCACCCCATTCAGCATGGGCTTCCCCTCTTTTCCCCTTCCAGATCCGGAAAGGTCCATCTGCCTCCTCGGTGCCCTTCCCTCCATCCTCCCCACTGCTCTCCTGCCCACCTGATGGTGCCCGACACATGGTGATGTATCAGGGAGGGGGAGCAACTCTTGGGGTGGAGAGACTCCTGACCCTGCGTGGGGATGGGGCTGGGCAGGGCTTCACACTGCTCCTCTCCCCTCCAGGGCAAGCTGGACCGGCACGGCAGCGGCACTGACAGCGACTACGACAACACACAGGCCGGTGAGGTTCTGATCAGGTGAGTGGTGGGGCTGGGGGCTGCACCAGTGTACGTGGGGACACAGGGACAGGGGGCTGATACTGACCCAGGCCGGTTGGCTGGTCCCTGCAGCATGGAGGGGAAGCGGTTTGTGGAACTGAGCAAGGATGAGGATTTCCCCCATGAGCTGGACCCGCTGGACGGGGAGCTGGACCCTGGCCTGCCCAGCACGGAGGATGTCATCCTCAAAACTGAGCAGGTCACCAAGAACATCCAGGAGCTGCTGCGGGCAGCACAAGAGTCCAAGCATGACAGGTAGGACTGGGCCACAGCCTCTCCCTGTGTCCCCCCTCCTGGACACCCAGACCAGGGGTGGGGCCATGCCTTGTCATCCTCCATGCTTGGGAAGCGCTGTCTGCGTTGCTCACCTGTTCTCCTTGCCCCCAGCTTCGTGCCCTGCTCAGAGAAGATCCACTCGGCTGTGACAGAGATGGCATCACTTTTCCCTAAGGTAGGAGGAGCGGTGTGTCCCTGGTGTGGTTGTGGTCCCCACCAGACACTGTCAGCCCCTTGAGCATGGGTTCTGACCCTGGTCCTGTGCTCTGCCACAGAAACCAGCACTGGAGACTGTGCGGAGCTCCCTGCGGCTGCTCAACGCCAGCGCCTACCGGCTGCAGAGCGAGTGCCGCAAGACTGTGCCCCCCGAGCCCGGTGCCACCGTGGACTACCAGCTCCTGACCCAGCAGGTCATCCAGTGTGCCTACGACATCGCCAAGGCCGCCAAGCAACTGGTCACCATCACCACTCGTGAGAAGAAGCAGTGAGCGCCAGCCCACGTCCCCCCAGGCCTCCGCACTCTCCGTGTCTCCCTTCCCTCCGGCAGCAGCCGGCACCTGGGGCGAGCGTGGCTGCAAGTGGCCTTTTTGGGGAGCCAGGGCGTGGGGTTCCTCGTGCCCCCCGCGCCATCAAGGAGCTGATGCTCAGCCTGCGGGGTAGGTGCCTGCGTCCCCCTGTACAGCCCCCTGCCCACCCCGCAGCACGCGCCTAACTTATCCTGTACATAGCCTCTGTAGCTGTCCGTGGCGGCGGTGGCCTTGTACCCCCACCCCCCACAAAGCCCCTCTCTGGGTGGCCGGTACCCCCGAGGTCACCCATGGCATTACACTGGACTGGGGCGCCCGCGGGTCCCCCCCCCCCCCCCCGGGCGTCCTGCACCCCTCCCCGGGTGTCCTGCCCCAGGCCGGGGCCGCACTCCCCACTGTAAGATGTGTCCTTGTACATTTGTATCAATAAAGGTGTGAGCATTGCACGGGCGCCCGGCCCCCGGCTCCTGCACCCGCGGAGGGTCCGTGGCTGCAGGGGGCTCAAGCCCTCCGGCGCCAGGCAGGGCTCGGCCACGTGTCCCTCCCGTTTCACCCAGTCCCCTTGGCCCTGCTGGCCGCTCACGCCATCCCCGGCTCAGCCCTGCTGTTTGCCCAGCCCCGGGGCTGGGCTTTCCCAGCACGGCCCCGCCATCGCTCTGCGAAGCCGCCGACCATCGGGGCTGTTGTCTGGGGCTCCTGCTGCTTCCATGCTGTCCCCGGAGGGTTTGGTGGCCGCGGCCGCGGTGCTCATGGGGCTGGGCTTCCTGGCTTGGTGCGTTTGGGCAGGGAGGCTGGAGGTGCCTGGAGACATGGGAGAGGAGGAGGAGGGGATCCCTCTCATGGCCGAGGAGGGTTTGGGGCACTGCCGGCTGCTGTGCAAGCCCTCGGCTCTGGCGCAGCACCTGGTGCGGAGCTTGGGGCGGTCAGCAGCGCTGCGGGGGGGACGCTGGCCATGGCCGCGCTGGCCACAGCTCCAGATGCTGTGGCAGCTCTTGCAGCCACCTGAGCCAGAGCCGGTGGTGACCCGTGAGCTCCTGCAGCTGCCTGACGCTGGGCTGGTGGCCCTGGACTGGCTGGTGGGGCCGTGGGGGGCTGCGGGTGGCAGCGGAGGGATCTCCAGCCCAGTGCTGCTGCTGATCCCTAACGCTGCCGGGAAGGTGACGGGCGGGCTGCTGCAGCTGGGGCTGCGGGCGCTGGAGCGGGGCTTCATCCCGGTCATCTTCAACCGCCGGGGCCACAACGGCTGCCCCCTCACCACCCCCCGGCTCCAGTCCTTCGGGGATCCCGGGGACCTGCGGGAAGCTGTGACCTACCTGCGGTGCCGGCACCCCTGTGCCTCTCTGTTGGCTGTCAGCGAGGGCTCGGGCTCGGGGCTGCTGCTCGCCTACCTGGGCGAGAGCGGCTCCTCCAGCCGCCTGACCGCCGCCGCCTGCCTCTCCCCTGTCTTCCGTGGCCGGGACTGGTTTGAGGCCGGGATGCCCTGGCTTTATGAATGGCCGCTGCTTCTCCACCTCAAGCAGGGATTGAGCAGGTCAGTGCAGTCCCTGGGGCTTGGGGAGGTGGATGGGTACTCCGGGAACTCCTCGGTCAGTCCTGGGTGTGTGCATGGGGTGGGTGCTGCTGCCGACACCAGGAGCCCCAGTGCAGGGGCAGAGGTGCTGAGGGCAGCAAAACTTGCTAGTTAATGAACACCAGCCTGGAGCCGGCTGCCATGAGGCCAGCTGGGCCATCACTTGTGTTCCCAGCCTGGCTGGGGCTGCAGCAGCATCTTGGGGTTCCTGAGCTGGGAGATCTGTCACCCCTGGGAGGAGTTGGTGAAGCCCCTGTGTGGTTTTGGACCCTGAGGGATGAGTGGGCCTGGCCCCTCTCTGTGCATTGCCCCTTGTCCCCAGCACCTGACCCTCCTGCTGGCCCTTGGAGGGGGACTATGATGCCAGCCCACGGCTGGGCAGGGGGCTGTGACTGCTGCCATCCCTTCCCAAGGAGTCTGGGTTCCCTAGTGCCCAACACAGCCAGGCTCGAGTGGGCTGAGACAGGAGACAAACTGCCCTGGTCTGAGGCCTTGAGCACATGGGCACTTCCCCAGGTGGTGCTGAGAGCCTGTGGGGGCAAAGGGACCCTGTGGGTGGGCAGATGAGAGCCAAAATAATGCAGGTAAACCCCAAAACATTAGGGGCAAAGAGGTGACAGGTGAAGCTGCAATAAATCCCAGATAGGTGCAGCAAGGTATGGTGCTGACTGCAGGGATGGGGTATTGTGGGGTGGGCAGCAGAGAGTCTCCCCCCTCCCTATCCCTAACCTGATTGCCACTGCAAATGCTGCTGTCAGGGTAATGAAGGGAGTGCCGGCTGTCTCCCGTTGTCATGGCACCCGGGCTGCACTGTGGGGACCATCCAGGTTCTCTGGCATAGGGCTGGGATGGGCCTCCTAAGCCACTCTGGGGTTGGAGCAGTTGAGGCCACCCCAATTCCCCTGTGTGCAGGGCCAAGACCATCGAGCAGCCCATGGGCACACAAGCTGCTGGCACCCCCATGGCAGCATCCCTGTAACCCCCAGCTCCAAGTGGCATCCCTATGACCTTCCATTCCCATGGCAGCATGCCCCAGCCCCTGTGACATTCCCATCGCAGGCGGCATCCCCATGTCCTCCCCACCCATGGCAACATCCCTGAAATCCCCAGCAGTGTCCCCACTGCCCCCAGCCCATGGCAGCATCCCCCAGCCCCTGGTGGCATCGCTGAACCCCCAAGTCCACGGCATCCCCGCAGGTACACGGGGGCCCTGGCCGACATGGTGGACACGGACAGGCTCCTGGGCAGCCGCTTGCTGCGGGAGCTGGAGGAAACCCTCTTCTGCCGGACTCGGAGCCGCCCCAGCAGCTGGGAGAGCTACTGGGAGCGCAACGAGCCCCTGCGCGACGCGGACGAGGCGGCGGTGCCGGTGCTGTGCCTCTGCAGCGCCGATGACCCCGTGCGCGGCCCCCCGGCCCAGAGCCTGCCCAGGGAGCTCTTCCGCAGCAGCCCCTTCTTCTTCCTGCTGCTGACCCCACACGGGGGGCACTGCAGCTTCCCCTGCCGCGGGCCGGGACGCTGCTGGGCCCACGAGGCTGTGCTGGAATATTTCAGGGCCATGGCCGAGTTCCTGCGGATGGAGGAGAGGAGGAAGGGGCTGCCACGGCCCCGCAGGTGGGGGGGTCCCCTGGTGGAGCCCCCCGTGTTCACCTGGCAGAGGTCCTACACACGATAGCCCCCCTGGGGCAGGGTCTCACAAAGGCAGGCACACACACCGTGTACTAAAATTACTTTATTACAGTTGATTTTTTTTTTTTTTAACATTTCCTTTGCTATGATACAAAGGATACTTACAAACAAAATATTACATATGACCTTATTTTTTTTTTCTCTTCTCTTATTTTCTGACAACTTGGTAACAGCTTTAAATGCACAATCTATACAATTAATACAGGTTATATATGAGCTATAATGTATGTTGAACCAGAAGAATACCAGAATACTGACAATATACTGTACATTAAGCCTTACCAGTTAGTGCTCGTGGCATTTTCTACAAGAAGGAAAACGCACACCTGTAGATTCACTCATACCAGCTGGTGCTACCAGAGACGGAAGCAAGAAGGAGTTTAATTCCCCTGGTTAAATCCTTCATGGCCCATCACCGTGGTGCTGAGCCTGGAAACCTCAGACCAGTGTTCATAGTAAAACAGCAGATATGTGTGTGGTTTTTTGTATCTAATGCTCTGTGGCACAGCACGGCTCCAGCAAGGCTTGCCCCAGAGCAAACTGCCATGGCGCTGGGGCCGGGTGCTGGGCGAGCTCTTGCTGGGAAGCTGGACCTCCTTGGAGAGGGGGAGAGGAGGAAGAGGAGGAGGAGAGGAAAAGCAACAACAGCTTTGCTGTCATCAGCAGGCAGCTCCTGGGTTTGTGCACATGAATAGGTGGTTGCCGAGGGGGAAGAGCAAGCCCAAGGCATGGCACTCCCGGCACAGCTCCGAGCCTGGCTGCACACAGAGCTCATGCCCAGAAAACCCTCCATGGGGTAGGGCAGCAGCTGCCCTGTGGTCACCTCCTCACCAGGAAAAGTTTGCTTTTTGTTTTGCAGCCAAAGCCAGAGGTGCATGGCTACAGGTGTGCACTTCCCCTCCTCCTGCCGGGGTCTACATCACACTGATAAGGTTACATTTTTGTTTTGTTTTGCTTTTTTTTTTTTTTTTTTTTTTTTTCCTTTTTAAAGCAACCAGCAAGTGAAGCATTTTTTTAGTTGACTGGCAAAAGACCTGGCATTTGCACAAAAGCTGCAAATGGAAAAGAGCCATCCCCTCCTCCCACCCACTGCATCCCAGCCCAGAAAAATCCCAAACTGTTGGCGGAAGAAAGAAAAAAAAAAAAAGAAAAAAAAAAACCCAAAAATACAAAAAACACAACAGGGGTGGAGGAGAGGAAGAGAAGGGTGAACAGGTTGGAAAATACCAGGTTTGAGTTAACATTTCCTTGACTTCACACAATTCTTGTGCAAAAAGAAACACTCCCCCCCAAACAAACAAAAAACCCAAACCCAGAAACATGCTGGAAATAATGAAAACAAATGGAAAGTAATATATAAAATTAAAAATATAAATAGGATGTCTGGCTGACTGGTAGAAGAATAGGTCATTTAGGTTACAAAAAGGAATATACATTCAAGAGGCTCTGAACCCAGTGGGGTAACTGATGTTAAACTTGTGTTAATAGTTAGGCTAGAATTCTCAAGTTTGTCTTTAAAACCTTCACAACACAAGCAAGCTATTTTTAAAAAATATACACTATACACACCTCACACAGCTTCTCCTATCCGTATTACACACGTTACGCTACCCTCCCATCCACTACACCGAGAGGGGGTCCCACAGCCGAGGGGCCTGGGGTGTCCCCCCATCCCGTCTTGACCCCCCGGCCCCGCAGTGGCGGTGGGGCAGCGATGGCTGCAGGGCTGGGCAGGTCACTTGGCCCCTCCACATCTTACCACAACTTTCTCAAGCATTTACAAGTCACCGAAGGGCTGTAGCCCTTTGTTATACACACTTCACTTTGCAACGTTAATTATTTACATCAGGGCTGCCCCCCCATCTTTTAGCTGTTTCTAGGCAGGTAAAAAAAATGTTCCTGTTCCAAGCAAGCAGGGGGAAGAGCTGTGGGGGGTTAGGAGGGAAGAAAAGCTGAAGAAAGGAAGCGGGTGGTTTGCTTGCCAAAAGCCAAACCCGTATGCGCACATCTGCCTCTCCTCTCATCCTTGAATCCTTACAAGCTCCCATTCCCTACAACCTCCAGGACAACCAGACCCAGAGAGCACGGCCTCACCGGTGCTCAAACTCCTCTGCTCGCAGCTTCCTGGGATGCTTAGCACAGCTATTGACTCACAGGCTTGCCTCTGCCACAGGACAAGGAGCAC